GCCGTGTACGAAATTTCCGAATCTTTGTTAGGTTAAAAGTTTGATTGAGACAGGCGAAGAAGTCAAGATTTTGAATATTAGACAGATAGTTTGAAGGTGATTGATTTGACTATTGAAACACTCTGAACAAAAAAAAATACAGAGAAAGCAAGCTCAAGCTGTGATGTATATGCATTTGGAGTGTTCATGCTAGAGACTAATTGTAGTCGAAGACAGTTCTTACTGATTGTGTGCTAGATTGTTGGGCGAAAGGAGATATACAGTACTGCATGTGGTTGATACGAGGCTCAAGCCTAAGTACCCGGAGGAGCAAGTGGCACTACTTTTGAAGCTCGACTTCCTCTGTTCGCATCTTGATACAGCCATCAGGCCAAACATTCCTACCTTCATTCTTGGACAATGTGACTTGGCTGTCTCACAATCTTCTTGGCATTGTGAAAGCTCCAGGGATCAATGGAGCCACTAAAACCTGGTGGACGCAGCCAGGCCCGGCCCTGGATTCTGTCGCTCCGTCGACAATCACAGAATTATGGGAGATAAAAGAGCAAACCAATGTTGGTAATTCTGAATCATCCTCGGAAGAAACTGCAGAGCTTACAATAACTGTGTAATTATCTGTGTAATTGTCTGCTGAGATTCATTTCTGTCTGTGAATCATCCTCGGTCTTGTAGAATAACTGTGTAATTATCTGCTGAGATTCATTTCTGTTTTTATTACTCAGATAACAACATAATGCTTGGAGTCTATACACATACACTGGAAACTGTAAAATATAACATTACTCTTATTACTCCTTCCACAAGTAAAAATACTGGCAACTAGAGACTTCTCTATATAACAAAAAGATCACTGGCTCTTTACCTCAACACTTATGGAATAACATTGGTGGCGATCTTTGCCAGAATATCAGACTAAAACCGGACGGGTCTAACTATCATAATACCTTTTCTAAAGAGCCTTCTGGTAAGGTCTGCACTGGAAGAGAACGCTGCATGGGTTTTGCTTTCAGAGTAAGAGACTCTCTCCGGGGTTTGGCATCAATCGCTCTTGCCTGCTAAACACAGAAAGTAATGAGAGGAGAACATATATATCTTCCGGATTTAAAAAATGAAAACTTTGTCAACCTTTGGGTTTGTTTGCAAGCGTGTCTTCTCTACAGGTCTTGCACTGGACTTGGAAAGCTGAACAACGTGAAGATAGTATTAGCACAAATACGCAGAGATTGTAAAGTAAACCTTCATGTTAAGTTTGGTCATGAGAGAGAGATACATACCTCCTTTTGTTGTTTGTCAGCGGTCACGCTGCTTTTCAGTCCACGAGATAAAGAATGTTGAGTGTTAGTACTGCTTCTCTTTTCCATGCTACTTGCTTTTGTAGGCCTGTTTTTAGGACAAGAAGAGAAACTTTAGAACTCAAACATTACAATGATGAATTTCAGTACCCTATGCAAGAAACCACAAATCCAGTGAGTATATATACCTGCCATACTCCTTCTGCTGAGTAGCTACTGACGGAATACTAGTTGCCTTTGCAGGATTCTGGTGTGTAAGTAGCTGATCAGTGGATTAGACTTCAAAATATGTGAAGTACAAAACATTACTTAATACTAATATACCTGCTTTAGAGCTGTGTTTTGTCCATCGACAGAAGTATTGAAGTCGTAACTCTTTTGAAATGATTTAAATGCACGTTTCACAATGTCTTTGTCTCCCATTCGCTCCATAATCAATGATTTTCTAGTGCTTGTAAGAGCAGTAGGATCAGAGGCAGATGGACCCAGACTCATAGAGATGTGCAATGACTTTGAAGCGGTTTGTTTGTTTCTCAGTAAAGCCGAGACATTTTCCTTCTTTATCGAAGAGTGGGATGTAGACGATGAAGTGATTTGTGAAGGTGGCTGCTTGTACACTCTTGGAGTTGAGAACCCTGGTGGGGCTTTTGAGATAGGTGCAGCTGGTTTCTTTGTTGTCTTCATCATGCTTTTGATCTCCTTGCTCGGCGGAGTTTTCCTACTTGTTACAATCTTGTTAGTTGTCGGTTTTGTGGCCACCTGATTAGGCTGGAGACAAAAAAGCAATATAGCATTTTAGAAAACCGAAATGAGGACCAATCACACACAACAAGTATGCGAATGTAAATTTTACCTTAGGAGAGCCTCTGGTAGGATTAATCCGCACATTTCCGTCATTCTTCTTGATTAGATTATGTTTTTTCTCTTTCTTCACCACCTTCATTGGTGTTTCATTTGTATCGCCAGTCGTATGTTTTGTCGGAATTTCATTTCTCACTTCCTCTCTTACTTCTTCCTCTTCTGCATCCTTCACTTGTAAAACTTCTTCTCGTTTCTCTTCCACAAGAGCAATCTCTTCTGATTTCTCCAATATCAGACTATCCTTGACTTCTTCTTTCACCTGATCAACCGAGCTTTGACATTCCTTGACAATGATAGTTTCTTCATTAAGCTCATCGATATTCGATTCATTCACTTGAGCAGCAATGTCAGTGACATGCTTATCTTCTTCACAAGTGAATTGCTCATTACATCCATCGTCAACCTCAGACTCTGCCACCGATCCGCCACTTTCGCCTTCAATATTCCCGTGATCCGAAACAATAGATCTAAAAGAGGCGTTCTTGTCCATTAGTTTCTCCTGATCCATGATCTCAGCTTTCCTCTCAGCGATCTTCTTGTAATGAGCTTCGAAATAGGCCTTCTTTTGAGCAACCGACCCTGGAGTTGCACACTTTCCAACTTCCTCCAAGTACTTGTTTGGAGAAAAAGCCGAGAATTTCTCCCATGAAAGTGAATCATTCTCAAACCTACCAAATGAAACAGATACTTGTAGGCTCGGGTTCGATGAAGCCACCGCCTTTACCGGTTTGTCCTCCATCAAGCCATAAGTACCCTACAAGAAGCCCACAATCAATGGAAGTTCTCACAAGACACAGATACAAATTAAGTAGAGATCTAAAAGAAACCACAGACACTAGTCAAATGGGTGAATACCTTATCGTCAATACTGGCAACACCAACTTGCATATCCCCCATTAATGCTCAGCAAAAGAACCCTAATCCACACAAAACTCAAGGAGATTTATATTAAGCTAAAGTAAACAAGGATCTACTCAAACCCTCTTTGTGAGCAAACTCAGATTCTTGTGAAAAAAAAGTGTTCACTTTTAAAATGAACAAAGCTGTCAAATAACTGAAGAAATTAAGAGAGGACCTAAATCCTCATCAATGATTGAAAGTACCAATTTTCAATTTGAAGGAGAGAGAAAAAGAGAACTGAGGATCCAAATCTTACCAGAAAAGTGAATGAAGATAGAACCCACAAAAACAAAATTGTTGTTAGCTCTCAATGATGATTCACTTTTTTCTACTTGGATTTCAGCTTCGAGTGGACACACACACACAAAAGTAGAAACAGTTCTCTAAAGTAAAGAACCAATGTCTTTCAAAGTCTTCAACTTTGGAAAGACCTTTTCAAATACAAATTATTAAATAATTTTAACACTCAACTGAAAAAAATCTTAAATGCAGATTTAACAAAGAGATAGAGATGGAAAAGCAAAAGGAAGAAGAAGAAGAGATTAGATCCATCAGAGACTGTAGATCGGCAATGAAGACAAGACAAGAGTCGGTGGGACCATTGATTGAAAAATAAAATAGTAATGTGGAAGTTATATGGTTACTTTTAAAGCGATTAAGAGAGATCAGAGACAATAGTACTGTACTAACTACAAATAAACAGGGAACGAGTTGAGTTTGTTTATTTACAAAAACTGAATTTAAAACGACTAATTGTAATTAAATTGTTGAC